GCAGCTGGCGTGTATTGGTTTTTTCTCTGTTGAGCTCTCCCACTGTTCTGAGGCTTAGAAAGTCCTTTCATACCCAGATATCAGATGAACATTTATTGAAATGTCTCCTCACTTCTTCCTAGTTTGACTTTTTTCACTTAATACTTCTCCATCTAGGAATTATGTGTGTAGCAAAGTGAGAGTTTGTTTGTTTTCTACCCCTAAGGCAAGATTCCCAGGCAACCTAGAGTATGCAAAAGAGCATAGGATTAACTGCTCATAGCTCTGGAATTAAGGCACTTTAGGGGAATCATTCTTTGGCTCTGGTCCTTGGTTTCCCTTCTAGGAAACAAGTTGGGTGAATTAGGCAGTCTCTGGCATTCCAGCATTTCGTCTCAGGTCTAAACAGGATTTTGTAAAGTGAAAGCACCATCCCTTGGGCATCCTGGGAGGTGTCCCTGCCCTCCATGGCTCGCCTTCTGCCACATGGCCCAGCAGCAGCTACTCTGCAGAGCCGTGTGCTGCCATGACAGGTACTCATGCACGCGGGCGCGGGCCTGCAGGTCCTGGGGATACCAGTGGTCAGGTGCTTTGTGCATGCAGCTCATATGCAGCAAGATAGCCACACTGAGGGGACATGGCAGGGGCAGAAGACATGCCCTGATCACTCTTCAGGCATTTTCTGGGGCATTTTCACTATCCCCATGATGCAGAGGAGAAACGTGAGGCTCAGAGAGGTTAGGTAACCGCCCAGGGTCACACAGCCCTCCACGGGGCCAGACTATCATCTGAACTAAGGGCAGGAAGTAAGAAACAAAATGTCATGAACTTCAGCAGGGGATCAGGGAAGGCTTCCAGGAGGAAGGGGCACCCAGTGTGAGTCTGAAGAATGAGAGCAAGTTGGGTATCTCCCCAACATATCCAAAGCATGGACAGGGCCAGGAGCAAGGCCAGCAGGAGAGAGCCTTCCAGGTGACATGGCAGCATTGCTTCCCACCCTGTCCCATCCCCTGTCCACCTATGGTGAAGCGTTGTGCAGTCTGACCCCCAGAGCTCTTCATGCCTCTGTGGGTGTCGGACCCTCCAGTGATCCCAGGCTCTGAATGTGAATCCAGCTCCACCACGGAGGCACTGCGTGGCCTCGGTAAAGGACGCCACCATGCAGCCACCAACCTGGAAGCCGTTTTTGGTTTTCATTTTTCCCGCCCACCTCCGACCCTTCAGCAAACCCTGCAGTTAGAGTTTCAAGAAAAATCAGAACCGACCACCACCCCGCCCCCCAACCCTGCACCACCACCACCACCTTGGTCTGGGGCTCCAGCACTTCGGGCTGGATGACTGCAGTAGCTTTCTCACCCCTGCCAGGGGATCCTTTACGACGTAAGTCAGATCACAGTTCTCCCCTGCTCAAAACCTTCTGGCGACTCAGTCCACCTGTGGTAAGAGCCAAAGCCTTCCCAGTATCCCATGCTACCCTCTGTCCTGACCTCCTGCTCTTCCTGCTCACTGCACCCGCATTGTCCCACCTGGAGCCTTTGCCCTCACTCTTCCCTCTAGCCAGAACACCTTTCCCCTCATGCCTTGTGCTTTCCTACAGCTCTCTGCTCAGATGCCATCTCCTCCAGGGAGTCTTCCCTCAACATCCTACTCAACGACACATGCCCCCACTCTTACCCTGTGTATTTTTTCCATGGCATCCATCCACATCTGATATGTTACATGTTTACATGGGTTACTGTCAGCTCCCCCTTGTATTAATGAAATGTGATCCCATGAGGGAAAGGGCGTAGACACGTTCGCTGCTCAAGTCCCAGGGCTGAAATGGGGTCTGGCCCTGGTGGGTGTTTAGCAAATAGCCACTGAAGCTCGCTGAGTGGTCCCTCGACTCTCCAGGGAAACAGTACTTGCCCCACAGGGTTTGTGGGCAAAATGGTAGCACTAAGATGCCTGGTACAGCCGCTCCTCGAAACTTAGCACTCTCCTTCCTTCAGAGGGCTGGGCTGGCGGTGAGGAGGCCTGGAGCAGACTGGGCCCTTTGGCCTTCTGCAAGTCCCTCCCCTCCTCCAGCCTCAGTTTCCTCATTTGTACAATGCAGGAGGGGACTTCTATAGCCCCTCTCAACACTGGG